AACTCAACTGCAGTTGGATTACAACGTGACGTTAACCACAGAAGCAATGGCGGACAACATCCAACAGCACATTGAAATCAGCCAAGATTTTGATTTTGACATTAAACATAGCTTCTTCATTAAACATAGCACTCTTCATTTAACTCAGCTGTAATGTGTTTTTTCTTGGACAAAGTCATTATTTGTTCTCTGAAACACTGGTCGACAATAAGAAAATCAATACAAATTTAAAATAAATATTTGTTTACGTTATTAACGTATGCGCAATGAGAGATAATGTCTGCGTTGGGCCGACTGCTCACGCTGAGCTAACAAAAAAGTATTTTTATGGTGTCAGCTCTACGTCAACTTTCCGCTGACGCCCAGATAAGGCGGTTGTCCTAAGAAACCAGACCTTAACTCACAAATTGACCAGTCAGGTTTTAGCGCTCGCTTCAAGCTGACGTTTTGTAACGCAACCTCTGTCCTAAGAAACCAGGTCTTTTAGACAGTCACGATCTTAAAAATGTTAATTTATAGACATAGATTAGAATATATTTTTACCAAACACATTAATGAACTTGTATCCTTTAGGACCAACTCCCACTTCGTTTACAGCAGAACATGAGTAGTTTCCTTCAGCTCTAACACCATGAGGGTCAGTGGTGTAATTCTCACTTGATGTTGTCGCCAGTAATTCACCGTTCTTTTCCCATCTAAACAAAATATTTTAAATTATTTTGTACTGTTTTATTTGGGGGAATAATTAAAAAAAATTCAATGTAACTAAGTAAATGATTCAATGTAATGTAATGTAAATTCAATGTAGTGTAAGTAAAACATTCAATGTAAGTAAAGCGTAGGAATTCCAACATCAGAACTCGGTTTATTTAGGGCGAACAAAACAGGAATTTGCAGCAGTAAAACTTCAAAACTGGTTAGATGGGTGGCTATTCAAGCGGTAAACAGATTTAATTTGGCTATATCTATAATCACATCGCTTAATATTATTTTTTTTTTAACTGAAGTTACTAAATACTATATTATGCATCAAATGATATGCATCTTTTAAGTCAGTCTGACCAATCACCTAGGAGAATCGTAAGAAGGATATAATTAAATACAACTAATTGCAGTTTATGTTCCTAGTAATATGGAAAGGCGTCGCTATAATTTTTTACGAAAGTGTTCCTTTAAAAAAAATCTTGCCTTTCAGAGATAAGAGTTTTAATTTTCCCCTTGTGATAGACTTCGATAGTGGTGCGACAATTTTATATTAGGTTTTTATAGTTTGTTTTACAAAATTATAGTGCGTCAGTTTCTTTATTAAGCAATCAAATAAAGCTCACTTAAATTTTATTTTTGAATAGGAAAAAACTGATAATACTGAGTCTTTAAAAGCAGGAAAGGACGTATACGAAATAAGGACATTAACATCATCTTTTACTGTTCCAAATATAAGTGAAAAATGTTGAATGATTACCTACTGAATTAAATATGTTAATATTCAATGCTAATTTATATATAAGTATAATATATTCAATATTAAAAATAGTTACTCAAAACATGAAAAATACAACGTTTTTTAATAGCACACTATAATATCCAATTGGGTATTTGCACATCAAAAAGAAAATCACGTGTACCCCCACACTATGATGTCAGTGCCAGCTGTTCATTTATAAGCAAAATGGCATGTTTGAGTTGCGCTAAGTTTCTCCACATAAGTTAGAATATTAATTTACGCAAAATTAATTATATTCAGCGCCGTATCGTGCATCGAATTTGTTAAATTGCAATTCTTTCTCATCTACATCTTTTACTTAACTTAGATTCATTAGGATTGTTCTGGTATTTTATTGTAAAGGTGGTATATTTTAGTTTTGTGTACCCGGCAACTTCAATGCATAATTAGATTGTTTATCTTCTACATGGTTTCGTGTTTAATCAGAAATATATAATGAAAGAATTGAAATTTTTACACAAAGAACATAGAATGCGTCACTTAAGAGAAAAGATACTTAACGGGCTTGACTAAATGGAAATAACAGTTGCTAACGTAAACAAATGCCACGTTTCAGCAACCAATCACGATCGAGATACCCACTCTACGTCACTTGCAAGTATCCCATTATAACACTAATTGGCGTGGGTACCTAATTCCTTTATAAAATCAAGCCTTTATTCTACTTTATGTTAACCCAAGTGAAGTACATTCAATTATTTTAGGCATCCTGTCATAACTGTGGTTCATTTGTTTACCTGTAAACAGATGCAGGAGGTAATCCGGTATCATTCACTTCGCAGTGTAAGAATGATGTTTCACCTTTAACAGCCGGTGGATCCATTTCATACAATTTTGAAGGACCAGGTAAGTCTACGTGAATAAATGAAATTCATTAACACGAAATTCATGTCAGTTAAAATAAAATAAGAAAATCATTCAACAAAATATATATAATTAAATTAACATCACGATTAATTAAATATCAGATTTGACACGCAATAATTAAACCATCTACACGGAATTTTAGGTTCATTCAATAAAAAAGGTAATAATTTATTATTTATAGCAATAAAGGAAAAAAAAACACAAAAATACTCATACATACAATGCACGAACATGTACACATACAATGCTTGAAACATAAAATATGTTTCGTGATAAATTTTCTTTTAATTTTCCTTGGCTAACAATAAAAAAAAGAATGAAAAACAGTTGAAAAAATCGAAGAGAGGCATTTACGGAGAATAAATTAATCTACACCAATAAAGCAAAGTGCATATATGTAACACACATATATGCACATATGTGTTATATATGCAACACTTGTTTGCATATATATTTAGGCAATGTGAGTGCCCTGATTAAACAGACCATCGAAATATTTTTACGGAGCATCATATTAGTAATACATATTACATGTTTATTTCGCACATCCTATTATGTTCTTCAAATGGTTTAAAAATACCAATTATTTATGCATTATAAACAATCATTTTTCTTTCTTTTTTAAGGTCAACATTCACACTTTTTTCAGAGATAATATTAATTTTTAAAACAATTTGTGTTACAATTTTATTTTAATTTTAATACATTTATATCGACCGAACATTTCTATAAAAAAAAGTTCGAAAAGAATTATTTATTCATTACAAACGAACAATAATTTTTCTTTCTATTTTAAAGTCAACATTCACATTTTTTTCAGAGATAATATTAATTTTTAAAACAATTTGTGTGTCGATTCAATTTTTTTTTATTTTAATACATTTTTATCAACCAAACGTTTTTATAAAAAAAAAGTTCGAAAAGAACAAACAATTTTTCTTTCTTTTTTAAGGTCAACATTCACAATTTTTTCAGCGATACTAATAACTTTTAAAGCAATTTGTATGCTGATTTAATTTGTTTTTATATAATATGTACATTTATATCGACTGAACATGTTTATAAAAAAAGTGAAACTTTAAAAAATCGTTTTCACGTAAAATTCTTAACTACGATAAACAAAAAGATTTCCTAATTCGCCTAAATATAAGCAAAAAGTAGGCTTAGATACGTTGATATGCCATTCTCGAATTCAACTGACGTCAAATTCCCTCGCTCATCATTCTCAACAGCTCTAGACGTTAGTCTTGGCAAATTCTACGTTAAATGTATCAGCGTCAGTTGGAATCTTATAGTTAAGTTACGCCATACGTCATCGGGGCCTTGATGAGAAAAATGTCTGCCTCATTAACGGCCAAGAATTCTTCGGATCTTGTCTTCGTCATTAATATTTTTTTTTCTCTCTCCTCTTCCTCATCTTCGAAAGATGGAGGAGCAGCTGCCGACATTTTATTACAGGTATTAATTTTCCTGATCAGGCACTTAAAAATCAATTTGTCTCTAAAAATGATATGAGGCGATGATCGATGAAACCCAACAACAATGGGGAAGAAAAAAGATATATAATAAGCAAAATAAATTAGAAAGTTTCATTATGAAGAATTTTCTAATTTTTTTTAAAAATATATATATATTCTTTGAAATTAAGTTAACAAAATCCTTTCAGTGTTTTAAAAAAATAAATTAATTTGGAATTAATATGGAGCTGCAGTTTATTTTTTTCTGGTGTTATTTAAGAAAATTAAATGAACTAAAAAGTGCAGAATAGATTTGGATTAAAATTTCAAAGATTTGATACGGTAGATACGAAAGTATTTATAATAACTATTAAAATATGTTTATGTAACCATATTTTTACTACAGATCGGTAATAAAACAACAATTGTGCAACAGCATTTGTAGTCATTTGCTCACAAATAATAGCTAGCCATTAAAATCTTGGAAACTGATCTTAAGAGAATAGAATCGGGTTTACTATTAAAATATCTTTAAGTAACCCTATTCGGTACTTTGGGATTATCACGTCGAACAATTTCGCCAAACCAGATATCATCTTCAAAAGGCAACTTCTACGCCAATAACCGCAGATTATATCATATTTACTGTGTAATCCTCGACTATGCGAGTTAGTTTTTTTATCACTTGATTTCGTATTTAAACGAATTTATGTGGCGGCGATGCACAAGGATTATCACTTTTTTGTTTGCGCTTTAAAAGCTATCAATGATTTTTGACTACCGAAATGATTTATAATAATATATATATGGTTAGATACAAGAATAATTCAATATAAGAAAATACGGGTTTTAACTTTGTTTTGTTTCTTTTTATTATACTTTTTTATTACGTATTTTTACACTTACAGTTCTTTCTTATTATTATTTTATAAACTTAATGTGTTTAGAATGTTTAGATAGGAAATTATTTTTTATTATGATGGCGCCAAAAGTTTTGCACATTTTCGCCAATTATATTCTTATTAAAGATCCGGTTAATCCTTTCTTAATTCGGCATTTAGACGGTCAAGATTAAGAAAAATATGCTTCAATGATCTTAAGAGTATCGAATTGGATTTTGATTAAAATCTTAAAGATTTGACACGGTAGATACGAAAGTATTTCTAATAACTGTTAAAATATGTTTATGTAAACATATTCTTACAACGGGTCGGTAATAAAACAGCAATTGTGCAACCTCAATCATAGTCATTAACTCACAAATAACAGCTGGCCATTTAATCTTGGAAATATTACATTACCATCTGATCCTTAGGTGAAAAATATTATAGATATTTTTTAAATCATCGATTCATACTGCATTTTTTAAAAACTAATGAGGACATTCAGATTCTAAATAATATTTCGCATTGAAAATGCTGTCAGATGTATTGCACCAAATTAAAGATCACAAGTCAATGGTTAAAGGAACAACCATGAATTGTAAATAAATAAGAAACCTTACACTTAACGATCAACTCCTTCTTTTCAGACTCCTCACCCCATCCGGCGGCATTCTCTCCTTCGCACGAATATATTCCTGATGAGTTCCTGCTCACCCCTAACCAGACGATCTCCCTCTCAGTTGTCTCGTGCAGAAGCTCATCTTCCTTGTACCACCTGACCCGCAACAAATTTTGTGGATTTCCTTCCAAGATGTCGCAGAACAGTGAAATACTTTCACCTTCTTTCACGTCTTCTGGAGCGATGGTCGCCTCCACAATCGGTGGAACTGCAAATAGAGTAGAAAGTTTAAATCTATTACACCTCTGAAATTAACAAAATTGGTTGCATTGGTGCATTTGTTGAAACGGTATATTTTTGTGTTTTGGCCAAATAAAATTACAGTCCGTATCCAGATTATTAGACGCACTATAAGATTCTTAATTACCAGATGATGCTATACAGCTTTATTATTTTTACGCAGTTTGCACTTGTTTACGTTAGTGTATCAATGGGTTAAATTAGACGATATATAATATAAATTTGACGATAGGATAAATTAGACGATATATAATATAAATTTGACGATAGGATAAATTAGACGATATATTATATAAATATAGAATATTTATTATATCAAGCATTATATTAGTATATTATACTAATGAGATCAAATTATTAGGTCACTGTAGTTTTTTTTATTTTTTTAATAATGACATGTTTTACTCAAGTTTATATGCAATACTCTTATATTTAAACATACATGTAATGGGTTTTTATTCAGGAGAGTTTTTATATACTTCCTATTTGTATTTATTTTTAACGTATTGCATTACAATGTTAACCCATTGATACAGGAGAGCGTAAACAGATGCAAACCGGTTTCATCAGAGTAAAAACAATAAAACTGTATAGTTTCACCTGATAATTATAATTTTTCATAGAATTTTATAATGCGTCTAATAATTTGGCCAGAGTCTGTAGTTGGCTAAACCATCACCTCTTACATTAGAAAGCCTCCACACGGTTTTTTATAAGTAGACTGTGCAGACAATTTAAAAAGTAAACCATTTGTGCGCATGAACCTTAATTCCATTTTCAAAGTCATTGAGAGAAATTTAATATANACCCCTAACCAGACGATCTCCCTCTCAGTTGTCTCGTGCAGAAGCTCATCTTCCTTGTACCACCTGACCCGCAACAAATTTTGTGGATTTCCTTCCAAGATGTCGCAGAACAGTGAAATACTTTCACCTTCTTTCACGTCTTCTGGAGCGATGGTCGCCTCCACAATCGGTGGAACTGCAAAAAGAGTAGAAAGTTTCAGAATCAAAAGAGTAGAAAAAAGAGTAGAAAGAATCAGCTAAGCCATCACCTCTTACATTAGAAAGCCTCCACACGGTTTTTTGATAAGTCGAGTGCTCAGACTATTTGAAAAGTGAACCAGTTGTGCGCATGAACCCGAATTCTATTTTAAAAGTAATTGAGAGAGATTTAATATATATATTTGAGAATTGAATCTGTAGTGGTTGACAAAGTAAATAAGACAAACCATTCACATTCATAAATTAAACAATTTTTTTAGACATATATTTGCTACTGCTTTCTATTTTTTTAAACTAGATTTTCTATTAAATAGTTTCTTAAACTGGTTTACCTTCATAATGGTCTGATCGGACTACCTATAAGAAACCGTGTGGTGGCTTGCAGTTATAGGAGGCGTTGACTAAACTGTGGTGGTCTTAGCCTGTAGACTACCTAGCAGCTGCATAAAATACCTAGATTGTTAAGTATAATCCTAATAGGAATATGATACTAATTTACCTAGCTAGATTAGGATAGTATCAAAATGTGAATCATTTGAATTCCTCGAACTTCCCCAACAGCACTACACAATAGTCGACACGAGGGAGGTTATTATTTTTTTTCTACTAATCATGTTTTTCAGGGTCCCTAATCCGTTATAAGTTCCTTGGAATCCAACAAAGTATACGGATATCTATATATACGAATTAAATACAGATATCATTTTTATATATAACGAATTGGGCGTGATTATTTCCATCATCCCATATATCTGACCCCAGGGATAGTGAAACCTCGAAAATTGACATCAACATTTGCCTGTCATCAGTTTTTATATTTACAATAATTTTAATCTAGAAATAAAAATACTCCAAAATTTTTTATATTTAATTGGAATATTCTTCACACCGTGATACAACCAAGATCGAGTAAAAATAATAGAAGTACTAGGAAAAAACATGCAAGTCAATGTTAATTTCAAACTTTTTTTCTAAACAGTTTAGTTTTAAAGCATTTCGAAAAGAACTCGTAAAATTTGGAGCATATTTAAGGTCACCCCTCTGAGCCTATAAGATTGAGTCCTAGAACGTGAGTAGTATTTATAAATCTTGAATAGAATTTTCAATAAGACTAACTTATAGTTATCTATAAAGCTAGAGTGAGTAGTGGTGGTTTAGAAGAGGGAGTGCTAGCCTCCCAATGAGGTACCCAGGGTTCAAATCCCAGTGATGGCTGGTTGATACGAATTCTCCACCCGGCTCGCACGTGCTGACGTAAAATATCCTCAGGGGTTGACTGATTATGGGTTAGAGTTCCCTTGCTGGATGGCTAACCGTTGGAGGTTCTTGTGGTTTTCCGGTCGATTAACACAAAGGAAGGTTAGTTTCAATAAAAATTCCTCCAAATACTTGATACAAGAGTTACCTTGTATTTCTGGATCGGGTTCGAAATTACGATGAACATTGGATGCCGCGAACTCAAAATTGGGCCTGCTGTTCAACAACGGTTATAGAATAAAATAAAACTAGAGGAATACGAATACCGCTCCCGTCTCGCACTGACCACAGTGCTGAGGTAAAATATCCTCAGTGGTAGACGGATCATGGGTTAGAGTCCCCTTGCCGTCAGTCTTAACCGTGGGAGGCTTTCGTGATTTTCCTTTCCATGTAACGCAAATGCTGGTTAGTTCCATCAGAACAATCCTCCACAAAGGTAAATTTCTATCAATACTTGAACCAGGAGTTCCCTTGCCAGCTGGATTGGGTTCAAAATTACAAGGCTTCGGAGTGGAACATTAGCAGTCGTAAACAGAAAAATTGGGTCGTTTGTTCAACTATGCTTATAAAATGAAATATGAAGCTTGAGCAGATCCCGTAAATGCAAATTCTTTTTGCCGTTGAATGATTTTATTTTCGCGTTTCGTCCAATACGGTCACTTTACCTCTATTCCAAAGTTAACATACAATCGTATGCCCTGTTAAACTCAGAAAATAAGCTCGTAAACGTTAGAGATGGTACGTTCATCCCATTAATAAAATTACTTAAATTACATGTTAACAATAACATTTTCGTAACGTAACTTCAAAAGATGTAGACTTAGAGTGTAACAATGTCTACATATCTTATTCTTCCTCAATACATTTACCTTTTGTTTACAGATAAAATATATCTTAGTATATACGAAAAGAAATAATAAAAAAAGTAAATATATTAGCGATAAGAATTTCTTATTTATCAGTAAAGTTGCTGGTTCCTGACTGATGACAAGAATATTGTTTCGTTTCCTTGCAACTGTGCAGCTATCAAAGCGAGTGATTTTGATCTTCTTTTGCTCTGATTAGCAAGCGACTGAATAGAGGTAGAGTATTGCTCCATAACTCAAGCTGCGTAGAATAGCCCAGGGGGGTACTTTTGTTTCTTACGAAAGGCCGAAACAAGTATTGGAAATCATTCCCTTTCGAAACGGCTATGAGTTGTTCGCCGTTGATATTCATCTTATCTCGCCATTTTTTTTTTCAACTTCTTATCTGATTTCCGAGTTACATATCAGTTTAGAGCACAAATCTCGAAAGAATTCTTTTTGTTCTACCCGCAAGAAATAGGTAATAAATGTTTTGATTCCGGAAAATTGTTTTCTCTTGGTGACAAATGCTCCGGTACTCAAAAATATTTTGTCAGGTTTTCGAATGGTATCTTGTTAATAAGATTTTCAGAGTAACAGTTTTTTGCTGAACAAAGATCTTTTTTTTTTGAAGTCTTGAGAGAGAAAGTATAAAGATATGAAAAGTTTATGCATGGCAAGAAGTATGTGAATACATTTTTAAAAACAAAAAAATTTAAAAAAGAAAGATAGGCTGAGAAATATTATTTCGTGTTACGTTTATACAAAGAAGGAATAAAAATCAAAACACCAAGAAAAAATTATTGTAGAGTAATAAAATTTGGGCAATGTGCTTCTCTGTGTAACATACATAGTTAATTGATTAAAGTTTCAAGTTCACAGGTTAATGCATTTAAAACAAAAACCATTTCAAATGCGAAATACCGGTACATTAATTACCGGTATAACCACCAGATTTTTGAATGCAAGCATGCAAACGGGTATGCATTGTGTCATACAGATGCCGTATGCCGTTTTGTGATGTGGAGTTTCATGCCTTTTGCACTTTGACAGCCGATACGGAGGTTGTGGATGACGCAGAAGTTGTCGTTCACTAATGTCCCGTACTTGCTCGATTGGTGAAAGATCTGGAGATCTAGCAGGCCAAGGAAACATGTCGACATTCTTTAGACCATTTTGGGTTACAACAGCAGTATGTGGGCGGACGGTATCCTGTTGGAAAATACCCCCTTGTATGCTGCTCATGAATGGCAACAAAACAGGTTGAATCACCAGGTTGACATACAAATTTGCAGCCAAGGTGCGGGGAATAACGATGAGATAGCTCCTGTCGTCATACAAAATTGCTCCCCAGACCATAACTCCAGGTGTAGGTGTGTCTAAGAGGGAGACAGTTCGGTAGCAGGCGCTCATCTAGCCTCCTTTTAACCAATATACGGCCTACCTACAATAACCTACTTTCATCAGGAAACACAATAGATCTCTACTGTGTCCTCCAATGAGCTTTAACTCAACACCACTCACGTCGTAGTAGATTTGAGTGAGGGGAATGCAAGCTACAGGGCTTCTCGCTCGAAGTAGCAGATTTGTAACAGTTTGCTGTCTCACTGCAGTGCCAACTGCAACGTGAATTTCTGATGCAGACGCAGTACGGAGAGCCACAGCCATACACCGTACACGGCGGTCGGTTGTCCTTCCTTGTAATGCTGTTTGGCGGCCCGGTCTTATTGAAGCAGTACCTTGACCACTGCCGATAACAATCATAAGGGGAAAGTATTAGCCGTGATGCCTCATGGGATAGAACGTTCTCCTTCCAATGAGTTGAACCGAGTTCGAATCCCAGCGATGACTGTTCGATACGAATTCCGCATCCAGCTTGCATCGACCACAGTGCTGATGTAAAATATGCTAAGTGGTAGACGGATCATGGGTCAAAGTCAGTTTTATAAATGATATATCACTTTTAAAAAGATGATAAGAAGTTAGAAACAGCGCCTTGACCGGAAATCTAAGTTAGCCTGGAAGCCTCATAAATAGTCGTAGTTCAAACATAGTTCGAACGTAATTCGAACTGAATTTCAGAAAGAGGATGCAAAACTACGTAGCTTAAAAATAAGTTTCATGTCTGTTTTAAATATTTAAGCTATTTCAGCCGTTTTAAAGTCCAGTCAATTCCTTAATGAAAAATAGCATGAGCAGAAGATTTTAAGATTCTCAAATTCTTCGAAACTGTTCGAAAGAGTCTTTTAAAACTTTCAATTTATTCGCTCTTTCATCATCGAAGATCATAAGCATATATTCATGGTCTAAACAAATTATACGCTCACTGTTACAAACAACTTGAAAATTAGGCAGAAATAAAACAGTAAATATGCAAATAAAAAAAATTAATCGGTTGCAAATCAAAAACAATTGGTAAAATGACTGAATTAATTACTCTACTGAAAAGAATAAAACCAAATAATTAAATCTTAGTTTACTGGTACAAAGGTTTTACTTACAGTCTTTAAAGATATAAAAAGAAACTATTCCCTAATTCAACCAGATTACAACCTCTTCTTAACTTGTTATTCGCTTCCTAATACGCCCACTTAAAGTCGATAATCACCATTTTTTTTTTAAAAATCGGCTAATTATATCATCAGATAAATAGCTTAATTGCTGGGTAAATTTTTATTACTTTTCCACGCAAAATTTTTCCACAGATTATTTTTTTTTCAGAAATATATATTTTAATATGAACTGAAAAATGTTTTTCTTCCTAGATGTTTGTATCATTAGTATAAATTTTGTGTTGTGATATTCTCTTCTAAATTGCTACAAGATTACCCCAGATTTAGTTAGTTGCTTATGTTAAGGTATAAGAGTAGTTTCGACAACTTGTTTTTAAATATTAATATAAAATTTCAAAACATTAATTTATTCGTTTTAATATGTGTAAAAATAATTATTATTATTGTTTTTGTTTTCTTTTCATATGCGTACTTTTAGGTGAAATTACGGCAACTTTTTTTACATTCACGATAAAAACTGTAAAAAAATTTCTATCACCCGAAAGAAAAAATCTTTTTAGGACTTTATTCATAAGGTTATCAACTATGCTTTGAACTATTATCTTAAAAGCAAGCTCATATATTACTAAGTTAGAGATCAATGAAGTTAAAAAATAATTTTTTTTTCAAAATTTCCACACTTGTCTTTTCGAAAAAATTTGCATAAAAAATGAAATTCTATTTTTTTCTCTTAGTCTTTCACTCAAAACATGTGTGCTATAATTATAAACACTCATGAAAAATTTTAAACAATTATTTTAAAAACAACATGAGATATCGTGTTTCAAGTGAAAAGATAAAAGCATTTAAAAACTTAAAATCACTAGTCTATCACCTTACACAAAAACTGCTATCATTTTTTAAATAATCATAGTATAAACCAAAGTCAAGTATTTTTAGAAAGCCAAGAGCACAGGGATTTTAAATTTACAATTAACTCAATTTCGAACATTTTTGCCTTAAATCATCTTTTTGCATTAGTCCTTCGCACCTTGGCAGTTTATCTGTTATTATTATTTTCAATTAGCATTTACCTAATTCAAGTAAATGTGAACTGTATTAACGTCAAAAAAAAATCCTATACTTTCTTCTTGTACTTTCCTTATCCCAGTATTTTGCATCTGATTTGTTTTAATATAGCGTTAAGTCTTGATACCTTCAATGCGTAATGTCGTTTACATTTGGTGCAGTATAGCTTCTTTATGAATTTTGTGATTAAATTATATACTCAACCAAGCACTCAATACAGCTAATCGCGATATTTAAATAAAACCGAATAGCACTATAGAAGTCTAAAAATAATTTCTACGAAGACATTTTTATCATTTATTTTATTATTTTTTCTTATGCTGTTAAATACTAATAAAATGTATTTACAGATTTTTTATCGCAATTTTAAATATGAACCATTATTATTTTAGGGGAGACACATTAGTATTGATAAATTTTCAATTATGTTTGGGGGGGGGCGGCGACGTCAGTTTTTCATAGCGAGAAAATTTTAAACATTAGTATAACCGAACAAATATGAATTACATTTTTAATGAAAAAAAGAACAAACATGATACGTTTTAGAAAAAATAAAATTTTAGCAACTATATCCGAGAATACGTTTGAGAAACAAAGACAACATTTTGAGCGTTTCCAGTTTACATGTCTTTTCATCCAAAGGGTCTCTCTTTTCAGTCTATCCTTTCCTTTTATTATCCTTTTTTTCCCCTTCATCCTGAAAGATTGAACTTTTCCCGCTTCCAACACAAAACACGGTTTTCTATCTTCTTTTTTTTTTATTTATTTGTGGGTAGGAATCTCTTCGTGTGCTGAGAGGGGTGGGAAAGAATAACACGCACATGAAATGAAATAGAACAAAAGAACAATTCATGTCTTGCATGCTGAATTAGTTCGAAAACCTCAATTACACGGCAACAGTATTCGAAAGTAGTTTTGATAGCTTAATAGCTAAAGTATATTCTGTTTCAAATTAACCCACATCGTAGATAAGCGATTGTGTATGTATATATATATATAGTTTCTAAAAGGTTTTTTAAGCATTACTTAAAATTTGAAAGAGAAAATATGAAAAAGATCTTTCCAGTTTGAATTATAACAATTAACTGAAATACAGAAAAAAATAAAAATAGACAGAGACTAAGAAATAAAAAAGACATTTTCCATGAAAAAAAAAGTAAATTTCATACTAAATAAATAATAAGCAAATAAACGAATTAACAAATTCATTATTTTTAAAATTCAAACGTTATGTATTTGTTAAACATTTTAATATGCTCTTTTATGCGCGAATATGCCCAATTCAAATATGCTCTTACATGCCAAAAAGTTTAATAATTGTTTAATGTGAAAATAATTAAGTGCAATAATAATAAACACTCGAGTATGCATCAATTTTCAATCGATTAAAAAACCAATTCTCACTTTTTCTTCCTAATACAATCTCTGATAGACGTAATATCTAAATCCTAAAGGTAATCCTAGCATTTTTGCCTTTCAATCAGCTAATGACAATTTGACGACATCGCGAACAAAAAGTGATAACCCACGTTTTATTTTTGTAATTTAGGAGACGAACAGATTTGTATTTTCATAAAAATAAATTTACCATTATATATTTCGAGCTAGAAAACATATTACTAAACATATGCTAAACATAACTTAAACAAAATTTTTAAAATAATGATAACAATAATGATTTAACTTAGTATGTTTAGTAGTAACAAATATGTGGTATTCGAACATAAAATGAATTAGAATATAATTTAGATTATCTAACGATAAAATATTGATTTCAAAAGATATAATAACTGAATAATATTATTTTTTTTAAAAAAGTGAGTAAATGTGACTATTACTCCTGAATCAGATTGATAATCATTTAATGCTCAGTAAAAGAACTTGTGGGGAAGGTAGATAACGACAATGTCAACCTTCATCTGTGAAAAGGTACCCCCCACATAGAATCGAGTTAACATGCCTTATATACTAGTGAATTTTGAATTGTATTTTTGTAGTGGTAGACACACTACAGAACTCCCCCACCAGAATTATAGCTCCGATAGAATTTGATGAATGGATAAAACTAGTTGATTCATTGCTCTTTTGTGAAAAACTAGGAGAGCTGTACTAAGATCTCCGTACTTTTGAGTGCTGCTCGTGAGAGCTGTATTAAGTTCACGGTCGTGGTGTCCTGTGGTGCCATTGGAAGTCTAGTGTATACAGGTCAACGCAGTGTGTGATCGAGACTGAGTAGCAGCAGCGCGAGGTAGATAATGTTACAGCCACAAGTAGCTAATCAACTTTTTAATGGAAACCATCCATCGAAGTAGGTGTGTTCAAATCGAAGTGGGATCTTCTGTCTAAGTAGGCGTGTTGCATCACGTCCGATGGTCACCAATGTGGGGTATACTTACCTCACATTGGTGACATCGACAATGTCAACCTTCATCTATGAAAAGGAACCCCCACATAGAATCAAGTTAACACGCCTCATATACTAGTAAATTTGAATTGTATTTTTGCAGTGGTGGAACCACTACAAGCTCGATTAAAGTGACATTTGTTCATGAATCTGGATGATAAAAATAAATTAATATCCCATAAAAAGGTGACTATTGTTAGGCCACTACTATAGGGCCATTTCAAATACAATAATGAAATATATCATTAACTTACACAAGACATTGACTTCAGCTTCATTGGTGGCGTTTCCTCTGCCAATGGCATTCGCCAGTGAACACGAATACATCCCCCTGTCTTCTTTTTGAACATTTCGAATGGTTAAGGTTGGATAACCTTGTATACTGCTTTCGTATTTGCCACTTGTTGGAACCGTTAATTGCACTCCTTCGTGAAACCATAGAACATCTGAAATGTTGAATGGATTCGCTTCATACGTACAGTAGATGATGGCAGAGTCTGATTCGTTCACGAGCACTCCCCCTGTTGGCTGCATGATGACTGCAGGTGGATCTATTGAAAAAAACAAGTCTTTATTTGTAATGGAAGTTTACAGAAAAAAGTTAACATAACAATCTGGCAATCATGATAATAATCGTTTGCAACATGGCTGCATAATCACTGGCCTTACACGTGTTTTTGACAAAGTTTGGTGATTGTCTAAAAGCAATGTCACACATACTACATGAATGCACACGATAACAACAAGGGTGAGAATCGACCAGGAATTGCGATTTCCAGGATCGTAATCATCGTCTCTCCAGAACCTAATTCTTCTACATCAACAATATACAACTCAAATTCAAAATATTAGAATAATGATAAATAAAGCACATAGTGGTTTGAGATATGCATTTATTTTGGTAAAAATAAATACCTGAGAATTTTGAAGTGTGTTATCACATTCTACATGTTTTGTAGATGAACATAACATAAATAAATTATTATGATATTGCAAAAGTTTTTACAATGAATTTTTTCTAAAAATTCAAAAAATTAGAATAATTTTCACAGTGGTTCAAAAAATTAGAATAACATGAACAAAAATAGCATAATTCATTTAAATGAAATCTGCATGAATAGTTAATACTTAGTGGCATCTCCCTTAGCTTTAATAACGTCACGCAAACGATTTTGCATACGATGCACTACTTTTTTGCAGTCATCTTTGCTGATAGTTGCCCAAACGGATTTCACGCTTTCTATGAGTTCATTTTTGTCCTTTGGAGCTAAATCCTGAAGGCGTTTCTTCATTAAACCCCATATATTCTCGATGGGGTTCAAATCGGGTGAATTGGCCGGCCAAGGAAGTAATTTGACTTTATTGTTAGTAAGCCAAGTAGTGGTGGCGTTTGACGTGTGGCAAGATGCAGAGTCTTGTTGGAAGATAAAGTCATCCTCAAATAGATCTTCCGATGACGGAATCATAAAATGTTCAAGTACCTCCTTGTATACTTCAGAATTTACCCTTCCTTTCAAAATGCACAGCTTTCCTAAGCCCTCAGCACCCATACACCCCCAAATCATTACAGAAGTGCTAAACTTCACTGAGCGTTTCAAGCAATCTGTGGTAAAAGCTTCTTGCTTGCAACGCCAAACACGGACACCCTGATGACCGTGGGAAACGCAAAACATCGATTCATCGCTAAAAAGTACGTTATTCCAGTCCTGAATACCCCATTGCAATCTGTCTTTGCACCACCTCACTCTGGCTCGTTTTTGCTTGCGTGTAAGTAGCGGCTTTTTCTTGGGCACACGTGATTGAAAATCAAGTTCATGGAGTCGTCGTAGTGTGGTAGATGTTGAGGCATCCACTCCTTGTTCTCTCCACTTTCTACTTATGAATCTCAAGCTCTTGAAGCTATTTTTAGTGACGACACGTTTCAGCTTTCTGTCTTGTCTCAGTGTGGTTATTCGTTTACGACCACTATTTGAGCAGTTATATTTAAAACTTTGATTTGTAGAATAATCTTTTAAAATTTTACTTACAGTTCCTTGAGAGCAATTCACATTTTGGCAATCATTTGTTGACTAATTCCCTCATTGCGTAGAGTCACAATCGCTGTCTTGGTAGTGTCCGGTATGTCTTTCGTTCGACCCATTTTAACTCCCAACAAACTAAATCTGATTTTCAAACGAGCCTTTATACGCGTACTAGCTCTACAGTGGCGCAACGTATGCAAATTTTATGATTAACGTTGACCAATCACACAATTTTACAGATATTCTAATATTTTGAATCGCCTCTGGAATTATTTTAATATTTTGAAAAATTTCAATATTTTTTTATAAAATCTCTAATACTTCTTTAGGCGCGTGTGAACAATAATATCATACGTCAACTAATTGTGGACGGTTAATAATTTTTCCGTTCGCCACCGTTGTTTATTTTTAAAGATATCACGCATTTTATAAGGTAATACAATGCCTTTTTTGGTTATTCTAATATTTTGAATTGGAGTTGTATATTTAATTTCTTTTTAATGTATATTTATAAAAAGGTATATTCGTATAAGTCGAGTGTATATGACAACGTATCTTTAGAATGCATTGAAAAACCATCCAAATAAATGACGTTTATTTCTAAAGGGATCGGAATGGCTCTAGGCAGTGTTTCCCAAATTTAAGTCTTTTGTGTACCCTTTCTAAATTTTTCGTAATGCTGTGCAGCACTAATAAAAAAACGAATGTATTTTTGACTGTAAAAAATTGCACAAAAGTTAAAAATCACAACTGGCTGCTGACCACCACTCATTATTAACTGTTAACTCTTCAAAAAATAGCCAATAGCAAAATACGTCATCATAAATTTTCATGGCTAGCTTTGTTTTTAAATAAAATTTGAAACTTTCGCCTGTTGCAAGATATTTCGCGTTGCAAGAACGCGTACCCCCGCTAAACTGTTCTCGTACCCCTGGGAGTACGCGTATCACACTTTGGGAAACCCTGGCTTAAGGGATCGAGCACTCACCCCCCACTAAGATGACCCGAGTTCTAACCCCAAAGATGGCTGGTGTATTTATGTATTCCTTCTGGCTAGCACGGGAAACAGTACTGGCAAAAAAAATTCTCAGCTTTAGACGGATTATAGTCTCCACTTTCCGGTCGAAAAACTGAATATATTTCATGATTTTTCTCTTCGTGTAACACCCTTCATGTATGCAAGCTAGTTTCACATACATGAAGGCAAATTTGCTTGATTCAGGAGTTTTCTTGACTTTTTGGTTGGGTTAAAATTTATACTGACTTCTAAAAACCTAAATCGTAAATATTGAAAAGGTCTATACTTTTTGACACCAGTGTAAACAAACCTACGGAGCTAAAGATTGATACGCTACTAATATGATACGCATCGTCTGCTTAAACTTAGATGAGAAAATAAATTAAAATATTTTTTTGCAATTACAGAGATGCCAACTGCTCCGGACACACCAAAATAATTAAAAAAACGGTAGATAATTACAAAACAAATTTTGCAAATATGTGACTATTATTGCTTGCTCTTAAAAAGGTGACATTAGTACAATAAAGTGGTGAATGATATAAACCTACGAATTATTAAGAAATAGAGGCGGATAAAAATCCACTAAACAGAATTTATTAAACCAAGAATTACAATTGATGAACTACCACTTTAATATATATATTTGCTGTCCGGAGCAAGTTGGCATCTCTGCAATTATAAAGTAGAAAAATTTAATTTTTTTTCTTTATACATTTTGGATATAAAAAAAATTAATTCGATTAAAAAAAGTAATTTTAATCATGCGCAAATTTATAAAAGCAAAAATAAATAAATAAAAACTGCTCTGTTATCTTTTTACTGTAGGGATTGATCAAAACTCATATTTTTTTTTATCTTAACCGCTTTCCTGATTATCCCGAGATAACTCGGGTATGTATATATTGCAAATAATTATTATCCCGAGTAAACTCGGGCATAGCAGAATTCGTCAATACGCTTTGTTTCATAACGTTTTTATTCGGCCGGAAGCGAAACAAAAAATAATAATAATCTGCTGGGATTGGAAATTTGCCAATTTTTTTTTTGGGGGGGGGTGTTGCTATTTGGGGGACTGCAGACGTGTTTCGTACAATTGTATATACGATGATAGATGAATTTACATGGAAAAAAAATAGTAAAAAAATGGCGCTCACGAGCGAAAGTGAAAGTAATGCAGATGATTTTTCAGATTATGAAGATGTGAACATATACAAAGACTTTTATTTCATTTTCCCGACATAATTTGGGATAGTAAACTGATGGCAAATTAAATATTTTTACACATAAAAATATTATAATTTCAGCTTAGAAATTGTGCATTATGTTTTGTATTAGTTCCTTGTATTTATTAATAAAATGAAAAAAAATGTTGATTTCTTGCATTTAAAAAAAAAATTCTAAGGGAAGCGGTAAACATAATTAATACAAAATTCCACTGCGCTGCACACAAATAAAACATCTTCTATATTTACCAAGAACGACAATTTTTTTAAGAATAAAATTACTTCGTTTTCTAAGACTTCCCAGAGTAGGCTATTGCGCATTATATATCCAACTCAAAATCTTCTTCTTAAATCGAATACTTCAGAAAAAGCATTTTCCAATTTTTTTTCCTATTAATTAATTTTTTTAATGAACGCGTTTGATGAGAACAGCTGCATCTGATCACATCTGCTCCAAAGGAAGGGAAGAATATATGCCTAGACTCAACTTAAAAATGTAAATCAAATGACGGCTTTTATGATGCTAATTAATAACAGATAATTTATGCCGAGATGTTTTTGAAAGCTGCACTGAAAAAAAATATAGTGTTTTATGAAATCAACAAGCTCGTGCGTTGGTCCTTAGTTCGCGTGTTTTTGTCTGAGCTTTCATAATTCTTAATTACGTCTGATCAATGAAAGGTAGGAAGATCGTAATATTTCAGGAATTTAAAGCCATGTTTTCTGATTTCCATAGATTGAAAAATGTTTATTATTTATATTGAATGCATTTCTAACAACAGAGACTCTAAAAATGTAAATCTACAAGTTTTCAATTTAAAGACATCAGTTTGCAAAGTTGTAATGCAAAATAAATTAATTCCCCCCTCCCTCGAAAAAAAAACGTTTTGAAAATTGTTCTCTAAAAACTAAGAAAAAAGACTGCATATTTTGATTTTAAAGAACATCTTTCCATTATAATTTCATCACTATATTAATCGCAGGAAAATGTTGTGTAAAATTGACTTTGTAAAAATTTGATTTAAAGACATCAGTTTGCAAAGTAGTAATGCAAAATAAATTAATTTCTGTCAAAAAATTATTTTTGAAAATTGTTCTCTAAAAACTAAAAAAAGACTGCTTATTTTGATTTTAAATAACATTTTTCCACTATAATTTTATCATTATATTAATAGTAGGAAAATTGTAAAATTGGCTTTGTAAAATGTTTAGAATTTTTGATGGTTTATGTTGGTTTTAGTGTGATTCATGATGGTCCAACACAGTGGCGTACGCAAGGGAGGGGT